CAAACCATGAGATCTGGCAGCTTCCTCACGGTGTTAAGCTTGCAGATGTACAGAATGCAAAAGTGAAGAATGTTTTGCAGCCTCTTCTTAGATTTCACAATGTATGAAAAAGCCTGGTTGCCCAGGCAGATGCCCATTGCAGGGCAGAGCCCTCATAGATAACCTTTATTAGGGCAGTAAAGAGGGAAAATGTAGGGTAGGAGCCCCCACACAGAGTCCACACTCGGGCATTGCCTAATGGAACTGTGAGAAGGGGGCCACTGTCTTCCAGACCCAAGAATGGTAGATCTACTGGCAGCTTACACCCTGCACCTGAAAAAGCCACAGGTACTCAATAAACTGTGAGAGCAGTGATGGGGGTAGAACTCCACAAAGCCACATGGTGAAGGTGCCCAACGCCTTTGGTACCCACACTTTGCTCCAGTGTGCCCTAGATGTGGGACATAAAGTCAAAGGAAGTTATTTTGGAGCTTTAACATTTAATGACTGTTCTGCCGGGTTTTGAACTTGCACTGGGCCGTCAGTTCCTTTCTTTTGGCTGATTTCTCCCTTTTGGAATGGCAATACTCCCATTATATTTTGGAATTAAGCAAACCACCATGGTATGTGAATACCTATGTAACTTAACAATCCTGCACGATCTGCACATGTACCCCAGCACTTAAAGCATAATTTAAAAAAAAGAAAAAAAGATAACTTGTTTTTGATCTTATAGGCTCATAGATGGAAAAGACTTGCCTTGTTTAGATGAGACATTGCACTTTTGAGTTAATGCTGGAATGAGTTAAGATTCTGGGGGACTGTTGGGAAGGCGTGATTGTATTTTGCAGTGTGAGAAGGATAAGATTTGGGAGAGATCAAGGGTGAATGATATATTTGGATATTTGTCCCTGCCCAAATCTCAGGTTGCAAATGTAATCCCCAGTGTTGGAGGTGGGGCCTGATGAGAGGCAGTTGGATTATGAAGGCAGATCCCTCATGAATGACTCAGGCCATTCCTTTAATGGTAAGTAAGCTCTCACTCCGAGTTAACACAAAATCTGGTTGGTTAAAAGGGTGTGGCACCTCCCCTACCACTTTCTTTTTTTTTTTTTTTTTTTTTTTTTTGAGACGGAGTTTCGCTCTTGTTACCCAGGATGGAGTGCAATGGCGCGATCTCGGCTCACCGCAACCTCCGCCTCCTGGGTTCAGGCAATTCTCCTGCCTCAGCCTCCTGAGTAGCTGGGATTACAGGCATGTGCCACCATGCCCAGCTAATTTTTTGTATTTTTAGTAGAGACGGGGTTTCACCATGTTGACCAGGATGGTCTCGATCTCTTGACCTCGTGATCCACCCGCCTCGGCCTCCCAAAGTGCTGGGATTACAGGCTTGAGCCACCACGCCCGGCCCTCCCCTACCACTTTCTCTAACTTGCTTCTACTTTCATCATGTGATGTGCCTGCTCCGCCTTTGCCTTCTGCCATGATTGTAAGCTTCCTGAGGCCTCCCTAGAAGCTGAGCGGATAGCAGCACCATGCTTCCTGTAAAACCTATAGAATCATGAGCCAATTAAGCCTCTTTTTTTTCTCAGTTACCCAGGTTCAGATATATATTTATAACAATGCAAAATGACCTTGTGTATTACATATCTGTGCTGCTTAGCCACTCCACTATGACATTTTCATCAAAGAGAAATAAAATCCTATGTCAAAACATATACTTGTACATAAATGTTCATAGCAGCTTTATTTATAATATCCAAATACTGAAAACAATACAAGTATCTAACAAGAGATGAATGGATAAACAAATCCTATTACATTCCTACTATGGAGGACTACTATTCAGTAATACAAAGGAATATTAATACATGTAGCAACATGAATGAATCCCAAAATAATTATATGGAGTGAAAAATATTAGTCAAAAAATAGCATGCACTCTATATAATTTTATTTATGTAAAATCCTAGAAAATTGCAAACTAACCTATAATGACAAAAATCACATAAATGATTGCCTGGGGATTGGTGGTAAGAAGGAATTACCAAAAAAAAAAAAAAAAGCATAAAGAACTTGTAGGAGTGATAGATTGATTGCTTTTTTAGCTCATGTTATAATGGTTTTACAGATTAATACATAGGTCCAAACTCATCAAATTTTACACTTGAAATATATGCAGCTTATGGTACACCAATTAGATCTCAAAAAAGCTGAAATAAACATGTAATTTTTTGAAATAAAAGTCATGACACTACATAATAGGAGGCTATTATTTATGTAGATATAATGTTTGACAACAGCACAAAAGATAAGAGGGGTGTATATGTAACTACACTGCTCCTAGGTCCTTCATTTTAAGTGAAGGAGAACGATATTAACTTTAGATAGTATTTGATAATTTAAGAATGTATTTTGTAAGCATTAAAACAGCCTAAAAAAATACAGAAGTGGTATAGCTAAATCATCAAAAGAGGAATTAAAATAGAATGATAAAAATATTCGATTAACCAAAAGAAGACAGAAAAGGAGAACTGAAAAACAAAAAAACAGATGGGATAAATCTCCAAACAAATAGGAACTAGTAGAAATAAGACTAACCATATCAATAATTACATGAAACATAAATGAAGTAACACTCCAAATTAAAGTGAAGAGATTGTCAGCCTGAATAAAAAAACAAGACTCAGCTACAGGTTGTTTACAGAAAGTATACTTTATAAAAACATGAACTAGTTATACATAAAATGATGAGCAAAGATGCCATGTAAACTATAAGTATAAGAAATCTGAAGAGTCTATATTAAGATCAGATGAAACAGAACTCAAAAAAAAGAGAATTACCATAGTTATAAAGGAACATTTTATAATGATTAAAGGAAAAACTTAATAATAAAAGTGTATTTGCTCAATAATTTAAAAATTCATACATCAAAAATCAATAACAATAAAAGAATAATTATAAAATTATAGATGTTTCAATAGCTCCTCTCATTAATTAATAGACCTACTAAATAAAATATCGATAAAGACATAGAACTAGGGTGAGCAAAATTTTTCTATAAAAGGCTAGTCAGTATTGTAGGATTTTCAGGCCAAATGTAGCCTCTGTGGCATATTCTTTATTTTGTTTTATGCTTTTGTTTTTAACAACTTTAAAAAATATAAAAACCATTCTAAGTTCATAGAGCGTATAAAAGCATGCTATAGGCCAGATTTAGTCCACAGGCTACAGTTTGCTGACTCCTGATACAGAAGATCTGAATAATACTATCAACCATATTGATCTAATTGATTTTTTTTTTCACTGCAGATACACATTCTTCTCAAGTGTACATGGAATGTTCACCAAGACAGACCACTTTCTGAACCATAAAACAGTCTTAATATATTGCAAAAGTTCATACAAAGTATGTTCTCAGACCACAGTAGTTTTTAAATTAGGAAAAAGTAATTTTAAGGTATCCGGAATAGTTCCAAACTTTTGGAAATTAAACAATACTTTTCTAAATAATTGACCTACTGACGAGTCAAAGTAGAAATTATAGTAAGTATTAGAAAATTTAAATTAAGTGGCAAAATACAACATATCTAAATACAACACACCTAAAGCAGTGCTTAGGGAAATTTAATCTTTAAATGCTTACGCGAAACAAGAAGAAAGAGAATCATTTTAAGAACAAGGAATACAGAAATAATTGGTGGGTAAAGGATATATGGGAGTTCTTTATGCTATTCTTACCACTTTTCTGTTACTTAAAATTGAAAAGAAAATGGAAAGTTCCTAAAAATTCTTAATTTAGTTATTCACATGTGAGGGTAAGAATTAAAAACAGATATACAAAATTGGCTCAAGATAGTAGACTATTTTTCTTTCTATTAGAAATCCCTAAAAATAAACCCCCCACACCCATAACAAATATGTATGAAGTTTTGGTAAACCAATGAGGGTGACAGCAAACAAGAAAATTTCATGTAACTAATAAAAGATAAAATTCATATTGGATATATACTGGGGTAAGAATACAGAAAACCACAGTTCAAGCTGTGATTCTCTAAATTCAAAGTGCACAGATCTGAAGAATAATAATTAACTAATTAAATAATTCTAAATTAAAGAAAAACTTCCCAAAGAGTAGGTTGGGTAGGTTAATTCCTCCTCTTCCTTGGCCTATATCAAGATATAGGTTAGAAAGGTATTTCCCTCTGCATTAGTGGTTTGTACATGCACATGAAATCATCAGAGGCACTGAGGAACTTTAAAAAGTACTAAGCCTAGATTCTGAGTTAACTGATCAGACATGAGGCCTGAGCATTAGGCCTATGTTTGGTACTAAAAAAAAATAGCATAAACAGGAGAAAAATACACTTGCCTTACAAAGCTTATTAATGTAGTGTAACTGAGGACTTTGGTCCTGGTGCAGGAATTTGGCATATGGCTCAAAGGAACAGAAAAGAATATTAAAATGTAAGTGAATTGGTATTTCAAGTAGGCTATAAGTGGATTATTTAATAAATGAGTCATTTAGGGAAAAAAAACCCATCACATTGGAATACAACTATGCTGCTTATAATGAAATAAAGAATTAAATTAATATGGAAATTTAAAAATACTTTAAAAATACAGGTAGGTATTTTTATAATCTTAGTTAAGTCTTGACAAACACAACACAAAACTGAAACTCTAAAGAAAACATAATTTAAATGAACAAAATAAAAAATTTAAACTTATCTATTGAGAAAACACTTGATTAACCAGTTAGCAATAGAAGTAAAAGTGAGAATATCTGTAGTATACATAAAGACAAAAATGATAAAAGTAAAAAACATCATTATTTTATAACAGACAAATGGAAAAAGTTGAATTAAGTGTATATCACTATAACATTGATCTATAAGTCAAATGTTATTTTCAGACCCTCACCAGAAAATAAATCATTAGAAAATTCTGACTAATAAATAACTTAATATACTTGATTTTCCTACCTATTCCATTCTGCAGTATACAAAAACTTACTTACTGGTTGATATACGTTCTTGACTGCCTGCAATTCTCTCCTTTACTGATTTAGCAGGTGCTTTTTTGCCACCATGAATGGTGGTTGTGGAGAGTTCTTTCAGTTTCCAGTGGGTCCAAAAGCCTTTTTGAGGTTTTAAACCTGCGAATATAAAATGCATATTTAGCCAAAGAAATTTGGATTTTGAAAATACCTTTTAATTTGTCAAAGTATTTTTATGATAATTATACATTTCATCCTTACAACAAAAAAAGTTCCTTTTTTTTCTTTTAAGCTGCGTAGGATTTGATAAGTCATTTAACCACTCTAAACATCTGTATTCTCAGCAATAAAAATGTGAATAATATAAATTCTTTTGAAATATATGTTAAAGTGTTAGTAAATGGGAAAGTACTGCACAAATATGAACTAATATTATTAATATTATGTTAACCATAATTATGACTATAAACTAACATGCTCATAAATGTAGCCAATATTTGCTCAGTGGTGATTGTTCAGCGAGGATTATTCACTAGACTGGGCCATCAAATTATAATTTTCTAAATGTTTTTAGATACAGTTACCACTTATTTAACAGAAGACTTCAGTTTGATTCACTTGAGTGCTTCTAGATAGATTGCCTATGTTTTAAAATATTGTACATTAATAGAAAAGATGAAGTATAGTAAGACCAACAGATCAGTAGATTGCCTTTGTAAAGATGTTTTATTACTCACAGTTCCCAAGAGTAGGGGGATGTCATGCCACAGGGGCCCACATGGGCAAGCCTTGGGGCCAGTAAAGAGGCAGAGAAAGAAGGGAGAACTGTGGGCATAAGTCTTTACTGTGTTTTCCTTAAGAAGGAATAGGCAAGGCAAGAAGACCTATGATTGACTAGTTTAAATAATTTCAGCAGGCTTTAGTGCATAGAGCTATCACTTATCATCTAGTCCTGGGATGATTAGGGTAGGTGGATAGTGAACCAGAGTGTGAAAGCCCAATAAAGGAAATGGTTGTGTTGTGGCCTCTCAATTGGTTTGTTTAAAAATTAAAAAGCATTTAAAAAACATGCTCATAGGCAAGTTGTCTTTAGAAATTGACTAACCCTAGGAAATGTAGTCCTTCTAGAGTCATCAAGGTCCCAGATGTTAAAGTATCAGAATTTGGAAAAGAAAATACATTTATTAAAATAAAATGTTAATACTGTCCAGTGTTAGATGAACCCTACTTGGTCCTGATATATAAAGAGAGAGAGGGATTACTATGTACCAAACTTTGTGCTTGACAAAAGGGGCAAAAATTTCATTTCAATCTAGTCCCTGTCTGCCATCAAGGCAGATGTGAAATTATTTAGCATCGTGCCTGGTCCATACTAAGCACTTAATATAAATTAATTTCACTGTTACTTTTTTTTTTCCAATTAACCACTGCTTGATTTCTGACTACATTCCAACATTACTTACAAGTTTTAATTCAAAATGGTCACAAAATATGAATTGTTTTAAAGAATGACCTTTATATAGAGGCACAACACCTGAATGAAGTGTTATTTATCTTTTCGCATTGCCAATTTTTAAAAACTAAACCCTAGTAGGATCTATTCAAGTATTTCCTAGGAAACTGTTATCCTACAGGGTTTAGAAACAAATGGCATATAAAATAAAAGAGCTAAATACCTAAAATGTCTTTGTAATTGATTGGCAACTTACATATATTCTAATTTTCATTTTATAAAATGTATACAGACATATAGTTTAAAGAGTCAAATATATGTCAAACTGTTTAATTTCCAAACTCTCACAGTTCCTCACACATCCCCAAGACGACCCATAATGATAGCATACAAAAGAAGGGCTATATTTTTACACTTTGATGTGTTAATTTTAGGCATTATCTACTGGCTTAAGGAAGATAAAGATTTAACAATCTTTCACCATCCTATTCCATTATCACCACATACAAGCTAACTTTCTATTCTTTACATAATACCAACTGTTATATTTTTCATTTTGTGAATATCAACATTTACATTATAACTATGTAAAATCTTGTTGACAACTGAACCAGTTTTGTTTTAATATAAAGAATAATGTGGAGAACTGATATTTAAAAAAATGAATCTGATTTACTTATTTTCTTAAGAAAATTTTTTTCTCTGAAGTTAATAATCTTTGGATGTTTTCATTTTCTTGTGTTCTATGTACTTACAATTTACTTAGCTAAAAACTACTCCACCCACCACTGTTTAAATTACTTCTGAATACATCCAGATGCACTAGGGATTCTCTGAGTTTAATATTCTTGGAAACATCTCTCCCAAAGCCTGCCAACGTGCTCAAACCTGAACGAATTTTTTCACCAGGCTTGCGCAGTTATTATCTAGGGAGCTCCCTTCGCTATTATTTTGGGGATTCAATTTACATGCCTTATGTGACAAAGCCTCTATTTCTTGACTGTCATCTTAACCTCTTCCTTAATTTACTCCTTATTTTGGTGATTTTTTTCTCCAGTAACATGATAAGAAAAGATATATATGTTAACAATGTCTTTGGTTCATCCTTACACTTACTTGACAAATTGGTTGGGTTTAGGGGGTCCTAGGCTGTAAATCATTCTCCCTTAGAATTTGTAAGACATTGTTCCATTCTCTTCCATCTTTCAGAGTTGCTGATAAGAGGGAGGATACAATTCTGTTTCTTAATCTTTCTGTTCTCTGGAAGCTTTTCGCATTTTTTTTTTCTGGGTTCTGAGGACTCAAAACAATTTACTGTGGCATACATCAATTTTTATCCATTGTCCGAAGCACTAGATAATCTCTTAGAAAAACTAGAAACTCAAGTTTTTCAAGCATGGAAAACTTTTTGAAGTAATTCTTTGATTGTTTCTTACTTTGCTTTTTCTTTGTTTTCTCTTTTTGAACATAATATAGAGAATTGAGATGCAAAAACAAAAAGGCTGAAGGATTAGTTTCTTCCCATTTGAGATGGATACTTAAATAGATCTATAGAAAATGTTCTATACCTTGATTTGTATGCTGATTTCATGTATATATGTCTGTGTATATATATTATGTATTCTGTATGTTTATATATATTCTATAATATGTATTAAGGTGCACCCTACAGATTTGTGCAATGTACTAGATGTATATTAGATTTCAATAAAATGTTAAAAACAAATATTCATAGAAAAATTTAAAAATCAGTAATAAAATGTTGAAAGTGTAGGGAAAAAAGATATTTCTCGCTATCAGAATCCTTCAAGATTTGAATATCTCTATAACAACTTACAAATATTTAAAGTCAAAATTTCATTTCTGAATAGAAAAACACAAAAATCATTCATTCATTGTGAAAATTATATAGAGTTCTTGGGAGCCTGGATGAGAAGATACAGGTAATGCTGCACTTGTACATCAGCTATTCTCCAGAAAGGATCATGTCTCATGCTTTTGTTTTTTAAAAGCATTCTGCATTACTTCCATCATTTTCCCTGTCTTCAGACTGTGGGCTGAGTCCCACAAGGGTCCCAGTGTTTCTCTCTGCCAAATGCCTGAGAGAATGTGCAACCCTGGCACAATTTAGATAATATATTCAACATGTTTCTGATATATTTCATTGTTCATTTACACTTTAGTACTTATTCACTGCCTTAAGAAGGCAAATATAATTTGTGGCCATTATTGTACATTGTTGTTGAATACTGCCAAAAAACATATCCGTTAATAAGTTTGTTACTGGATAAACAGGTACTTTGTCTATTAAACGACTTATGAAGACATTCTTGGTGGGTTATTATATAGATATTTTAGGGAATATTTATATATAATATAGATAATATTATATATATATATATTTAAGGGAATATCTATATATAATAGATTGTAAACAGATATTTAAGGAAGCTGGTTGGGGTTTTTGAATGGCTTGGGAACACACTGATATTCCTCTCAATTAAATTATGAAATGTCAGCTGCTACTATTTGAAAATTTGCTATTTGACACATTTTCAGAGATTAATTAGAATCATATAAAGAAGAAAGCCCGTGGTGAAAATATTATAGTTAAACATTATGAGTTATAAATAAAGGTTTACTCAGGGGTACACTCATAGCCTTAAAGCTTTTATTACTAGGTAATAAATATGAAAATCATGTACAAAACTTTCAGCTCTGTAAGTTAAAAAAAAGCAGTCATTTAAAAAGACTGAGATAAAATAATGACGAAAGCAAAATTAATGCATGAATAATTTTGTCAAGTAAAAATTGCAAATAAAATGATTCCTTCTTTGGTGGAAAATTAGACAAAATAGACTTAAGAAAAGAGGAATGGAAATTGTTCCAGAATAATGCAAAAAGCATCAAGTATCCCATACCTTCTTAAAAAAAAACAGCATTTACAGAAATTTTCCAAGAGTAATCAATATTTGACATATTAAAAATATTAGAAGTCTCAAAAAACTATTTTATCATTTAATCAGAACAATTTTACAAAGTAAACAGATCAAAAAATGATGTGATTTTTCTAGGATCACAGAGTCACACAGCTCTAACTACAAAGTCAAATGAGAAGAAGAAAAAATTTATGCTCATTCACCAAAATATTTACTTTTATCTTTATGAATCTTCTGAGGTACAAACCATACAATCTTTTTCATATTTTAATTGGCTAGCATGTGACCACTTGTGTTTCCTTAAGAAAGTCTCATGTGAACAAAAATCCTTAAACTTTTTTATGTTTAAAATAGTTTGTGATGCACATTTGTGTGTGACTCACCACTGCTCCATCAACGGCACATCCTTCAACTGCTTTTGTTGTATCCCATAAGTTTAGAGATGTTTCCATTTTCATTTTTGCCTCAACATATTTTGATTTTCCTTCTGATTTCTTCCTTGACCAAATGGATATTCAAGAGCATATTGTTCAGATTCCATATATTTATAAATTTTCCAGTTCTATTCCTATTACTGATTTCTGATTTCATATCATTGTGGTCAATAGATATGCTTGATATGATTTCAATCTTCTTAAAGTGGTTAAAAGTTGTTTTGTGGCCCAACATATAATCTATCCTGGAGAATGTTTTGTGTGTATGTGAGAAAAATGTGCATTCTGCTGCTTTGGATGGAATGTTTTGTACATGTCTGTTAGGTCATTTTG